TTCAGCCGCCTAGCTTTTGTGGTTCCCGAGTTGAAAGTGCGGGACAAAATGTGGGACACATACACACTACACACACACACACACACACACACACACACACAGACAACTCCGTGACAATATGCGTTTTGTACTGTTGTCACACAGCACAAAACGCATAATAAATGAATAAACCTCTTATAATGAGCTTTTTTGGGAAAGACTCTTCTGCTTACTCAGCCTTCTTAGAAACACTCCTCTTCATCCCATTCTTTCTCAAAGTACCTTCCTACTATATGAAAATTCCAGAAATATACTATCCTTTTAGGAAATGCTGGCCACGCGTACTACTACGAACTACTACGAATTGCATCATTTTTTTTTAAGAAAAGAGCTATTTTTGTGCCTCTAGCATTTGTTTTTACAAGTACATTTCACTCGGCAATAAGCAGAATGTGATATCGTATTTTTGTCTGTACGCAGAAGCGGATATAAGGTTTTGCAAGCAAAATAGAACAGTGATAATAAGACATGGGCAGTGATAACGCACCAACCGTAGCGAATTATTTCTGTTGCACGAAAGATGATCAACCGACGTTTCGTCAAATGGATGCGAGGCAGACGGCGGCAAAAAGGAAACATGACTGTAGAGATCACGCGCAAGCCTATATTTAGCACACTGCTCAAACGCCTCTTCCGCTATTTCCTGCTCCATCTTTCTTGTGATAAGAAGTGTACAGCACTTATTCAATAACTGCTCTGCAAAAAATTACATTTAGTGGCGGTTCAATAATTCATTACGCTTCGAAACTCCAGGAAGGAATGCCAGTAGCGAAGCAGCCGAAGTACTATACAAACAGCTGAAAAATGTGGTACATCCAGCAATCCTCTTTGGAATATAGAAGAAAAAACCGAGCCAGGCTAACCAGCAGGCTGAAATGCAGCTGACAAAGCTTCGGCTATAACAGTTCTAGAAAGATTAATCGGCGGAACCAATCAACGCTGCTCAATCCAAGCATCAATAATTCACGCCAACGAGACTGCTCAAAAGATCAGCACGGAAGCCACTGTATTATTGAGAGAAGACCATGCGCCAAGTGGAGCTGTGTTTAGTCCTTTTTGCACTTATTTGCATTCACAACTTACATCAACCACAAAAATAGTTTCAGGAAAACACTTCTGTTAGCCCTATTCTTTCGAGGTAGATACAAATTACTAAAAAACTACACACAAAAAGAAAAAATTTTTCTGTACCTCATAACTCAGCTAGCAAATTCTGCTTTCTTTTAAAGAGGCAAAGCTCAAATAACTTTGATAATCAATAAAAAGTCAAGTCACTACCATTTAATCCATCTGCTAATCCATTTCTAAACTGCCTGTTTTTCCTGCTTTCAGAAGAAATCTGTACCATCAAAATTTTAAACTACGGGTACTGGATCCTACGCCAAAAACTTGATAAGTAGACCAAGAAAAATAAAAAAAAACAATGTAGAAGTTGACACAGGAGCTATCCTTCCATTTGCACTGAGAAAAACAAAAATCGCTCGAATGGGACAAGTAAATTGCAAAAAAACAAGATCCAGGATGTAAAAGTTGGACGAAACCTTAGATTGCTGCCAGAAATGCGTAAAATTTCACCAAAAAGCCACATTTAAGCAAACAAGGATAAGAAGCAAAGGTTAGGATGTGCGCTGCTTTAATCAGAGAAATGGTAACTTGAAAAAATTAGAATGCTAAAATTAGAATGCAGAAAGCCTGCATAGGCCTATGATTTCAAATGTACAAGCATTGCCTTATCAATTTGTTAAAAATCTGAGCATAACGAACCTTCAGTTTGCATAGAAAGAGCAGAAAGGCAAGGAACACTGTGAAATAGCGATGAATAAGCATTAAAAGAAAACGGAGAAATGCAAGTTCCTTCTTCCAGATGGCCACTTCTGGAGCGGCACTGATAGCACTGTGACAACAGTGACGTTTTTGCTGTCAAGCAACACTTGCGAATCTGCAAAACTGACCTGTTAAATTAACTTTTTTTGGAATCTTATACACAAACAAGAGCCTATTTCCGCAGGCAAAATTGTGGTCATTGAAAAATGCTTACAAAAGTTACGAAATCTGCTTAAAGGGTATGCGGCTAACGAGAAGAAAATTGGACTCCAAATTGATGGAAGATAGAGCAAGCCAGAAAAAACACCGTCCTCCAATTCGACAGAGAATTGGTCTCTTGAGTTTGACACAGCTATACTTACTTGGGACAGACAAAAAAGATGAATAACAAATTGAGCAGAGATTCGTTCGAAAAAAAAAAAAACAGAATGGATAGCTTTCAAAACACTACAAGACGCTTTCTTATTCCATCAGCAGCGGCTGTGAAAGGACATTTTTCAATTTCACTATGCTATTAAAAGTGCTGTATGGTAGCGAAACATAAAACACCAGGTTTGCTGAGGAGAGAAATAAATGTCGCCCAAGGAGTTATGGAACGATGCGTGGAAGACAGATCAAGTTGCAGCACACCTCAGATGAAGTACTGCTATTCTGACCGGGTGTGAGCGATGCAAAAGCAACGCACAACGGAAAGAACTCGGAGAATCATTTGACAGGAATGCGAGGCAACAGATTGACAAAGTAGATCATCGAATAGTACGCAATATTAAAAGAACTTAAAGAAAAATGCCACTGCGTTACAAAGATCCACTTGAACGGCTATAAGAAATTATGTGAGAAATCCGAAATAAAAGAAAGTAAAGAAGCTACCGGCTGCATCAACAATGGCGAGGGAGAATACGGTGATGAGAGAACAGCTGATCAAAGCACCAAAATGAATTATCAGATATTCCAGCGATACTCTTTTTCCGGTAGAGTGACACGAATTGTTCATCAAATTATCAATGCTAATGAACATATTGAAGGAAAAGTACCCAGGGTTATACAGAGAGGGTAGAACCAGCTGCGTATCAAGCAATGTGTGCTGCCCAGCATGCATCACGTGACAAAAAAAGAACTACGTCAATTACCATTTGAAATGATATAACTCAAAAAAAAATGGAACAAAGCCTTAATAGAACCTCCTGGGCAAAGGAACTGATCTCCCGACATCTGCCATTGTCCCGAGCAATCAAACGATTCCGCTCACGAGCCAATTCTTCTCTTTTGAGTGCCATCGATTTCAAATATGGGAAAATCATACTGCACGAATAATATTCCATCACTGTCTAGAAAAAGTTCCTAAATATTGTCAAAGAGCAACATTAAAACAAAGAAATAATAAAATCACATTAACAAAAAAGTAGCCGCGACAACACACGGAAGTAGCCGATGTGAAAACAATTTGCTTGCAACAACCAGCCGCTAACAAATACGTCGTTCACCCTCTTTCAAGGGTTGCTTAAAAAGCAAGCTGAGAACGGTTCAACATTCTAGCATGTTCGGCAGGCCAGTGACCAGCCGCCGAAAATAAAAGGATTGACTTTCCCAATGGCAAACTCGAATCGGAATATCGAGCCAGGAAGCAAGCGCTACTTACCACTGTTCCAAACCTTGTCAGTGTAATAAATTTAAAAAAAAAAAAAGAAGTTTAGGAATGTAACGGAAATATTCCGCTCAATTGCAGTTCATGGCGCCGCTCTCCGACTGTGCAGCTAACAACTTTTCCAGTTGCTTGGCCCCGTCCTGCATCACCTGATGGTCAAGTTTTTATCGGTCCTAACGTCCACTGCATTTGCTGAAGTAAGCACCAACTCAACGGCTCTCTTTACAAAAGCGCGGATTTTAGCCGTTTCGAGATGGCATTGATGTTTGTTAAACATCACTACCCAATTTCAAATGCTACCAATCCTAGGCCACGATAAGCACCTTACTGACCAGGAGACAACAATAAACAGAATTAAAAAATGACAAATAACAAGCAATAAATGAAATAATAATTGAATTGTACCTAACAATAAA